TATTATCCCTGTATTTTCATGGGGATATGTTAGACTCTGCTGTTCAATACTACTTGTTAATAGTACAGCTGTTAGAAGTTAATTGTCAGCTAAAACCAAAGAAACGGTTCCACAGACTGTGGAACTGAACTCTAAGTGTCAGTGCTAGTTGTGCACACAAATTGCCATTAGGTGTATATAAATATAGTCACATGTTCATCCTTTGTAATTGGAAGGAGCAGAGGTTTTCTGTATGTTAAAAATCAGAAAAGTCTGCAAGAATTACAATCATTTTATGTAAATTCAAGATAAGAGCCCAAGTCTGTGTCATGTTTAGAGGCTATTAGCTAATTGAAGACAAGTATCAGTGTTGGCTTTTAGATAAAACATTGCTAGCAACAATTGTTCAGATGCAAGTTTGTGGAGCAGAACAAGTGATGGCAGAATGAACAATTCTGGCCCGTCTTCCTTGCTGCCAGTGACAGCGAAGTGAAGTGAACGGCGCTGCAGGCTCTCGGATGGTTGCAAAACGAAAGTATTTAAAGAATGCACGTTTCAGCTGACCGTTTTCCTACTCGGCAGCTGGAGTCTTGTTTACTCAGGAGGGACTTAGCCAACCTAGACTTCTGTGACAGCGCTATTAGGCATGTGTCGCTTTTGCCTGTGTATGACAGTCCGCCTGGATCAACTTTGTTGCGCAATACAGCACCTAGAGCCAAGCCCTAAGGTTGGCGTAGCAGGTCATCCTCCAGGGAGGTTCGACGGGAGCCGCCGAGCTGACCGAAGGGGTGTTTCTTCAGTGCGGTGGTGCAGGTGCGCTATCAGCTGCATTGTGGCTCCGTGCCCAGAAGTAATAGCTGGGATATTCAGCATGTGCCTTCTGCTCTGCTGTCTTACGCGCTTACGTTGTTGCGGAGCACTGTAACGGAAGGGATATGATGAAGATGGTGAAAACTTGGGAGTTCTCACCTCTTCCGTAACTGGAGAGCTGAACGGTGCTGCACCAGTTCTGTGCTATGTAAATTGACTAAAACGAGTGAAATTAGTATTAGAAATGAGTATTAGAAAAGGCATAGTTTTAAGGTAGGCAGGGCCAAGCATGGGTGCTGTGTTAAGTAACATTCTACTTGTGACAAACCAGTGACTGGCAGTTCTTCTGTAAGTGGCCGCAGCCGTGGTAGCACAGGCCACGTCAAGCTGCCTTGCAGGCTCGTCCTCCAAAGGCGAAATGCAGCTGCAGAGGCTGCGGCCAGCGCATTTGGTGGCCTACCTCCTGGCCACGCGTGGTCTCGCGCCGCGGTGGGAGCCTGCTGATGGGGGGGCGAACCTTTCGTTCAGAGGGCAGAGTCTCGTGCCAGACTGTGACGAGACAGTGTTACTAGATGCTGGTAAGCAGAACGGGGATCCGGGATGAGGCGGAGGACTTCTTCGAACTCCTCTTAAAAACTGGGTGTGGCTCACAGTACAGGTGCTGCAGGGCGCAAATCAAGGCCACCCTGCCGCTGCCAGAAGCAGGCTGCGGCCGCAGGGGTAAGGTGCGTGTGGAGCAGGAGCGCCTCCGGTTTGACATTGCGCGGGTAACGCAGCTGCCCGAGGGCTGGAAGGAAGGGCGGGGAGCCCCCGGCACGCGCCCGGCAAGAAGGAGGGAAGGATCGGAAGTCCGATCGCAGGGAGGGTGCAGTGCCGCACCCCTGACTGCCCGAGGAGA